TATATTCTATTTCATCTCTCATTTGAGGGAGAGATGGACAAAGAGATGAAAGAAACAATAATGGTATCATCATCAGCATCTTAAAAAGCAATAAATCCAGTAAGATAATCCCATCTCCTTGACTCCTCCAAGAAACCAGTCTCATCTTTGTCTTGGCATCGTACTGTGAACCAAACAATTTCAGGCCATCACCCTGGCTGTCCCATGATGTGATAGGGAGATATATTTGGAAAGAGTGATATAACAGCAGAGAGAATGTATAAATATGCAAGTTTATCCAGAACCTATACATAATAAGTTAAAGATAATGGGGGGGTCACTAGCAGCTGAAACGAGGGAGGAATCAGGAAAGGCCTTGTATAGGAGATAGCATTAGAGATTCTAAGAGACAGAGGTAAGGAGAGAATGCATTCCAGGAATGAGGGATGACTAGAATTTCAGGTGTTGTACGAATGAGAGAAAACGAAGCCATTTGATTTGTGCAATAGAGTTTGTGAAGGGGACAAATGAGTTAAAAAAATGGAGAAGTGGGTTGAAACCAGGTTATAAAGGACTAATAATGCTAAATAGAATAATGCCAAACATTCTGTGCACAGAAAATAAGTTAGTACAAATTCACAGAGCTTGGATATGGAGTAGTTTCTGTTGACTGAAAGGCTCTTTTGGCTGGAAAGTGGAGGACGTGAAGAGTGGCAATGTAAAAGCAGACTGAAAAGATAGATTGAGTTCAGATTGAAGAAAAATGGGGAAATTGAGACCCAGAGATGTTAATAAATGGCTGAACCAAGGTTACCCAGATTGTATCCTATAGCTTACATCCTCTCCAGGCTGTCTTCTAGACTTCTTCTACCCTATTTCCAGAAAAGTCTTACTCCTGGAAGCTCACCCATTGGAGATAACTACTGCTCTTATAACCTCTCCCTTTGTTTAGATGGCTCTTCCCACAACCTCCATTTAAGAAAGAGCCCCAGGTCATCCATGTCTCATTCCTTTCCAGGCGGTACTCCATCCTTGTGTTTCCTCTCTGCTTCCCCCCTTAAGCTTCGTTTTATGAGCTATTAGAATGTTGCATTACAACGTATGCTCCTTGGGGGCAGGGGCTGTCTTTCCTTTTGCCTGTATTTATAATTCCAGTGCTTAGTACAGGGCCTGGTACGGAGTAAGAACTTAATAAATGCTTGTTCACTGACTGGTTGTTGACATCCCCACAGCACCTAGGGCAGGTTTGGATCTTTCACATAAATGAATGAATGGATAGATAGATGGATGAATGGAAAAAAAATTTATAAAGAACAATGTGCCAATCTCTGTGCTAAGCTGTAAGGGATACAAATGCTAAGTCCAGATACTTCTTGCCTCAAGTAGCTTATATTCAAATAGAAAGCATTTATCGGATGGAGTTGGAGCTGGTGGCTGGCGAGAACTAGCTGTTTCAGAATGGGAAGTCATAGAGACGCTGAGTAGATTTATTAACATTCCTTTTCTTCATGTTGACTATAACTGCTCAATAAACACCTGCTGATTATTTGAATGACATTTGTACATATTTATCCTAATACTGAATCACATGAATTAATATCTCAGAGTCTATGACTCTATGACACTTATTAAAGTCCTAGTATCCACATGTCCATTAATTAGTGTTCTGATTTCCAGAATATTGCTACCATTTGTTTCCTAGGGAAAGTGAGACTATTGACATCTGAGAAATAAAAACAACATGCAAAATCGCACGTTGTTGGGAGGATCTGAATTTAGACGAGTTTCTAAAATCACACTGAAATTATGAGTAAACTCTTAATGTTAGACCTGGAAGGGGCTCAGAGATCTTTTAGTCCCACTGTCTCCTTTGACAGATGAGGCAGTTATAGGACAATCAGTTCAAACTAATTTGTTTGTTTCATTGTGAAATTAAAATGAAGAATGGTCCATCATTCTAACCTGGAGCCTGGGAGTTTCCTGGAAAGTTCTCTGAAGAGGAGGGAGACCCCTCACTCCCAAAGAGCTGGGGCTGTATATCATGACACATGTAAGCCACTTTGGGAATAACTGTGAAGCCAAATGGGTCTGGGGAAGAGCAGACGGATCCCAGCAAAGTCAGAGATGTGAGCTGCAGAAAGAAAGAGGTGAACACTGTAAGACAGAGACTAGGATGATGCGAAGGTTGGGGTTGGGCAGGGGCCTTTGGAATTATTCCATGACTAATTTCTAACCTCCAGGGCTACCTTTGTAGATAGTGAACAGCTTACATAATATTTTAAAACTTCTTGAGGGGGTTAAAAGCAAAAACAAAAAAAAAAAAACAACCTGGCACATTTTATGTAAATTCTGTTTACGGGGATAAACGGCATTCAGATTTGGAGACAACCAGACAAATATTCAATTGGAGAAAATGTCAGTCTTGAAAATCAGAAGACTTGGAATCAAGGCCTAGATTTGGCTTTCCCTAACAGCATGGCCCTTAACCTTCCTTGGCTTCCATCTCTTCATCTAAAACTTGGAGATAATTAGATTTGCATAAATCACTTTGGGCCTTTGGGCCTCTATTTCCTCATCTTGAAAATGAGATTGGATTGTGTGACCTCAAAGGTCCTGTCCAGCTCTAATTGTGTTCCCTGATCGATTGTCTACCTTTTATGAGGAAAATATTTGGTAACCCTTAATGTGTGATAGAAATGTGAAGAATCGTTATTATTGTTATTTGTAACTTATAACATTATACATATGATATTTACAATAAGTCAATACATAACATATAATAAAATTTTTATTATGATGATAAGAATTTAAGTAATTATGAACAAGTCCTCAAATAATTTGCCAAGTCAAATGAAAAGCTTTATATTTCCTTAAGTTTTTTATTATTATTTTTTTAAATCTATATTTCTTAATGTCCTACCCCCTCTTATCCCAGTAAATCTTACCTGGTAAGAAATAAAAGTAGTTGATCACAACCAAATGTCTTAATTCGAACATCTCTGTCCCATCTGAACCTTGAACTCTGCCCCTGGAATTCTGAGTTCTTATAGGTCAGCTTTTACGTTACTTTCCTGAAACCAGGCCTCTGTATCAATTCCTAATAATTTTCATATCATAGTCACTTACAGTGCCCAGGGATGTGCTGGACAGAGCTGTCATTGACTCATAAGAGCTGATTGTTAAATATTTAAAGTGAACGTTTACACTTTGGAAATAGAATAGGCAAACACTGCCCAAGCAGGTCTGTATTTACTGTTTTGTTGATTGTCTAGACTTTAAGAAAGTGATGGAAAAATGTTAACAATGCAGATTAAACTGAAAAGTGTGTCATGTATATATTTTCTACCCAAAGAGCAGGTTGCTAAGCATTTGATGGCACATCTTGGCCTCACATACTCCAAGATCCTTTTTGGACTCAGGTTGTTTTATCCTGATACGATGGAAACTCCTTGAGAACAGGGACTGTCTTGATTGCTTGTATTTATAATTCCAATACTTAGCACAGTGTCTGACACATAGTAAGTACTTAATAAATACTATATCACTCATTCAATCACTTGGCACTGGATTGTGTTACCATAGCCCCCCACCTCTAAAAGGAAATGAGGAATGTACCCAGATTTTATCTTTGATCATATCATTTATGCATACTTTTAGAGAGTATGAGGGCAGCTACCATCCCTAGACCTGTATCCTAAGACATACTTTATAACCAACTATTGTGACCTTTAATAAATCTCTTCATCTTACCAGGCCTCAGTTTTCTTATCTGTTAAATGAGACTAATAATTATTGCTCCAACTGCATCATTAGGTTGTAAGAATCAAGTCAAACAATGCAAATAAAGCAATTTTTAAGTTAAAAATATTTTATGGGTATAAAATGGTAAGGGATCCTTTTTATATAGCATCATTCCATGGATTGAGGAAGGTCCACTTTGAGCACGTTAATGTATGCTTCCACTCGGACATAGCTTATGTATTCTGCATTTTGTGGCACCAGATGCCCATATAAGGCCCTCCTGGATCTAGGATTCTATTATATTAATGGCTAGTATTTATAGAGAACTTTTCAGATCACATCACAAATATCACCTCATTTGATTTTCATAACAACTTGGGTGGGGGAGAGGTGCCATTATTATCCCTGTTTTATAGGTAAGGAAACTGAGATTCAATGGCTGGCCTAAAGTCACAGAGCTAGTAAGTGTTTGATTCCAGATTTAAAGTCGGGTCTTTCTGGCTCCAGGGCCAGTGTTCTATTCACTCTGTCTCTGCAGGGCTTGCCATTAAATATGAGGATGACCTGGTAAAGAGAAAACTCTAGGATGGAAGGAGAGGAGAAGAGGTATTTTAACTATGTTTCAGAATTTGGAGGGCTGTCATGATGTGGATGACAAATTTGACATATGCATCTCAACTCCAGAGGGCAGAAGCAAGAAAAATAGGTGGCAGTTCCAAAGAGACATATTAAACCTTGATATAAAGAAATGTTCCTTCACAATGAGAGTTATCCACAAGTGAACTGGGCTGTGGCTAGATCAGAAATGAGTGGGTTTTCCCTCACTGGAATTGTCTAAGCCCACCTTTCCCAGGAGGCCTTCTCAGTTTCCCTTCCATGGTCTCTGTGTCTATCTTATATGTCTCTTTTACCCTTGTGTTGTGTCTCGCATTAACATGTAAGCTCTTTTAGGGTAGGGACTATTATTATTATTGTTGTCATTGTTTTTTTTTGTTAGTGATTTGTTTGTTTCATTCTTCTTTTTTATTCCCAGTGCTAAGCACAGTACTTGGCACATAGTAATCTCTTAAGACATGATTGTTGACTGACTGGCTGATTAAAGCAAAGTCTCTGTGACCAACTGTCAGATATACTTTAGAGAGGATTCTTTTTCCAGGTCTCAATTGGACTAGATGGCCTTTGAGGGCCTTTCCTGCCCTTCAGAAGATGTTCAGTACTAAATGACCTCAATTGCCTCTTTATCTCCAACATAATTTTCTTTCCATTTCTCTGAAATCTAGGTTGCCAACTTGGCCTGTTCCATTTCCAATAATGAGGAAGGAGTGAAGTTAGTCCGGATGGCAGCAACCCAGATTGATAGTCTATGTCCCCAGGTGAGTCTGATCCCTTTTGGCTCAGAATCCTTTGGTGCTATAATATCCCTTCCCCAGTCTGGCCCTATTATGTCTTCTCTAACCCCATCTCCTACTACTACCCTATTAAAAAGAAAAAAAAACTCTTCACTTTTCCCTCTTCAGATCACACTTTCACTGATTCTTCCAAACCTCTCCTAACCTACTTATGCCTTGCTCAGTCTCTCCTTCATGCCTTAGCCCATGCTGTTCACTGACCTTTCCCTTCCTCCCTTATCTATGAAAATCTTGGCTCTTTTTAAAGGTCCTGTGTGAACAATTTGCTAGCCAGCCCAAACCATTGAGAGCTCTCTAAAAGTAATGTTCTCCACAGTCCAGTATCTATTACTGCCTATATCAGTCACTGACACTTACTCATTCATGAACTGGGAATATGAAATCATAGCTCTGGAACCAAAGGATACCTCAGAGACCGTGTTATCCAATTCCCTCATTTTGCACATGAAGAAAACGAGTCCCAGGGGGTCAAGTGACTTTTCCATGGCCATGCCAGGACTAAGGATCATAAAATCCTAAATCTAGACCTAGAAGAGCCCCCAGGGTCCATTGAGTAAAATCTCCTCATTTTATAGGTGAGGAATCTCAGGCTCTGGGTGGTTCTCTGACTTACTTAGTATTATATGGCTAGGAAATTCCCAATATGGGATTTGAAACCCAGTCTTCTGTCTACAAAGCCAGTCTTCTTAATGGTCCCCTGGTGTTAGGCTTTTCTCACCAAGTGAGACTATCAGCTCCTGAAGTCAGAGGAAATGCCTTTGATTTCCATGGATTTTCCATATATGTGCCTATTACAATACAACAATCATTGTAGATATTCAACAGAGAATTTTTTAATTTCTGGATCATCTCAATAAGAACCTTAAATTAGAAATAAAATAATAAAATGTTGACACTCAGTTCATTGATAACTCATGTTCTTTATGTTACCAGTTGCCTATTTCCAGCAATGAGGATAAATGGCATGATGAGATTCATGTACACTTTGGGCAGGATTTTAAAGTTAAGCCTTACTCTCCCACCATGTGTTATTGTTCACTAGTAGCCTTTGAGTTTTCCCTGTAATGTATGTAAGTCATTGATGGGATGTCAAAATAAATATCTATGGGCTATTAAATGTGGATTTTTCCCCATTGTGATATAAAAATAGTATAAAATCAATCCAGTGTTGTAGACATTGTATAAATGTCTGCATTTATACATTCATACATTGATAAAAATCCATCCAATGCCATACCTCATCAGAATATTGTGCTCAAGACTTCTACCCACTTTGCCTACCCCAAGTTATGGTTCTGCTATGAGCTCATTCCAGGTGGCTGTGAGAGGGAATCATTACTTTTACGTGAACTCTCCTCTGGAGAATCGGTTTAGCATACTGAGTAGGGAGCTGGTCTTGAAGACAAAGTCTAGGTTCAAGTCTCATATCTGATATACTGATTGTATAACCCTGAGCAAGTCACTCCTCAACTCTTTGTGACTATAAAGTTGCAGAGGTTACAACCTGCATTAGAAGAGGGAGTTTCCTCATCTGAGTGTTCCCTATATCAGTGACATTGTGGGCCCTCTTCCTGTTCTTTCATCAGTTGTTCATTCTATTGAGAATCATTCCTGGTCATCTGTAACATAATTTTCTGAAAAAAAAATAGGTCATCAACGCTGCCCTTACACTAGCCGCCAGACCCCAGAGCAAAGTCGCTCAAGATAATATGGACGTCTTCAAAGATCAGTGGGAGAAGCAAGTTCGAGTTCTGACAGAGGCTGTGGATGATATCACATCAGTGGATGACTTCCTGTCTGTCTCAGGTAATTGCAACAACTGAGTCATTTTGGGAAGGTGATAGATACCTCAGCATTATGAAGAGGATCTGGACTGAAAATGAGAAAGGTTTTCTATATGTAAGTGATTGAACTCCACGAAGTCCCCTGGACCCACCAAACATTTTATCATTTTGAGACATGGAATTATAATGCCCTCCCAGAACACCAGGAAAAATTTAGGCAAGACACAAGCTAGAAATTCCTGTTGGATATTGTGGGACACTTGGACAGATTCTCATGGGAAGTTTAGGAATCTCATGACAGGGAGTATGTTGTAGTAGTTAGGTCATTGGCCTGGGAATAAGGATGATCTGAGTTCAAATTTTGCCTCAGACACTAGCTGGATGACCATAGACAACTCAATTAACCTCTCTCAAACTCAATTTTTTCATCTTTAGTATAGAGATACTACTCAATTCCCAGGGTTTTTGTGAGGCCCAATGAGTTGATATATGGAAAGTTCTTTGCAAACCTTAAAGTGCCATGTAAATGTTAGCTGTTCTTTGTGCTGTTCTGTCTACTACTATTACTATTACTGCTACCATTCTTCTTACTGTTGTTGCTGCTGCTACTCTTCTCCCTTCTCCTCCTCCTTCCTCTCTTTCTCTTCCTCCTGTTCCTGCTCTTCCTCCTCCTCCTATCACAACTACTACTACTACTACTACTACTACTACTTCTACTACTCCTACTACTTCTACTACCACCACTATCACTAGTACCACCACCACCATGACTACTACTACTACTACCACCACCACTAATACTACTACAATTCATTATAGATTTTAGTGGAGTACTGGCCTTGTGTATTTCTTAATGCATTCCATCATTTTTGTGTTATCTTTTCCCATTAGATTTTAAGCTCCTTGAGGTCAGAGGCCATCTTCCTTTACTTTTATTTGTATCTTCAAAGTTTAGTACAATGCCTGAAAGAGTAAATGCTTAACAAATACCCTCCTTTGTTTGTCTGTCTATCTACCATCTATATCTCTTCTCTCTCTCTCTCTCTCTCTCTCTCTCTCTCTCTCTGTGTCTCTCTCTCTCCCTCTCCCTCTCTCTCAATCTGGCTATCTATCCTAAAGGAGATAATGGAATTCATTTTAAAGGCTATTCCCAAGACTGTTGACAACATGAGACAATATAGTATGGTAGAAAGGGAACAGCCAAGATGGTAGAAGATCTGGGTTCATGGCTAGTGCTACCAATTAACGTCTGTGTGATGTAGGGCAAACCATTCAACCTTTCTTGGGTTCAGTTTGTTCTTCTGTATAATGAGAAGATTGGGCAAGGTAATCTTTAAGGACCCTTCTGTATGTAATATTCTATAATCCTGTAAACTACTGAATTCTATGCAAAACGTTATCATCTGGAGAATGAGCTCCACCTAGAAATGAGCAGATGAACTTCTTTGTTGAGATGGGTTAAGGATCAGTTAAATCCAAAAGGACAAATAACACTGAGATGATGCTATTTGTAATGTGAATCTTTCCTAAACTCTATATTCTATACTAGAAGGCACTTATGAGACATTCTAGATAAGAGAACTTGGCCACTGAAGAATATCAGAGAATGTCCAAAGGCTTTCCATTCACATTTGGAGAACTTATTCTATGCTTGCTTAAATAAAGTCATTTAATGGTAGTTCTATTTCAGTTTGTTTGGGTAAACCCAGTGCCTTACCTGTAGTGGGTGCTTAACACAAATTTTCTGAATTACAGACTAATGATTTTGAATAGCCCTGAGTTCTCTGTTTGAGGCAGGTAGGTGTCTAAATGAATACAGGACAAAATTCAGAGGCATGATAACCTTAGCTTGAATCTGATCTCAGATACTTACTAGTTATATTATCCTGGGCAATCCTGAGCAATCCTGATTTAACATCTTTGAGCCTCAGTTTCCTAATCTGTAAAATAGCAGGCTAGACTCTATAACCTCTAAGCTCTCTAATAATTTTAAATCTATAATTCTCTGAATTGTATGACTCTCTGATCCTTAGTTTTCTCATTAATATTTGTGGTCTTCCAGACAGTAAAATAGAGGAAAGCTGAATTTCCCTGAGTGCTTTATAGGGTTGACATAGCCTGGGGTTAAAACTATGAGAAATGAATGTGTTGTCCACACACAGTTTGAGTACAGGTGCCTTTTCTGACTATAGGATCAGAGGTTTAGAGTTGGAGTGAACTTTAGAAGCTGACTATTCCAATCCTTAATTTGTACCTATGAAGGAATAGGTATCCAGGTAGGTAGATAGTACAGAGGATAAGACACTAGGCCTGGAGAGTTGCAGACCTGAGTTTAAATCTTGCCACAGGAACTTATTATCTGTAAGCAAGCCACTTAACCTTTGTTTGCCTCAGTTCCCTCAACTGTAAAATTTGAGGGAACTGAGAAAAACAAAGGTTGTGACTTGCTAGAATAATAGAACCTATCTCCCTGAGTTGTTTTATAGATCAAATGAAATGACATGTTAAGCACTTTGCAAGCCTTAAGACACTAAAATTCATTTGTTCATGATTGTTATTGAGATTGTAGTTGTTTTTGTTGTTATGGAACCAAGGGACAGAAAGTTTAAGTTGATTCCTCATGTTGGATTATGGGTTTGGAAACTGATTCTGAAACCATATCCTCTGACCACCAATCCAGCAATCTTTTCTATAAATTCTTTTGGGGATTCCTGAGGGTAGTTCTTCTTTATACCCTGACTCTGGGTCAAGCTCTTGCTTAGGCTTTGTTTCCCCCAGCCCACTTTGGCAGTGGTATCCCCTTAGTCATCTAACATTGAGGAGAGCCTATCTGCTCAGCTCACTTCCAAATGGGGTCATCTATCAGCATATGAGCTATTTTCAACACAGGATTGTAGCATGGGAAGAAATCGATCAGGCTGAAATGTTTGTTTGCCTCATTTCCCCATGGCCTCATAACCCCATGGCCAGGACTTGGGGTGGGGACCTGGAAGTGCCAGCCTTATCATTTCTGTAAAATTACAATCAGCTTCAGTAAATGAGACTCACATTTCCTGGCCTGAATCTGCTACAGTTGTACAGACACCTCCTCTGTTGGAGAAACACTGGCACATCCACAGACACCCACCCATTCACTCCCCATTGAGCCTGGCCCCAGCCCTCTCCTGGCTCAGCCCCACCACTGGCATACAGCAAGTTAGGCGGGTGGTTGAGTATAGAAGGACTACATCTCTACTGCCAATTGTCTATGAGGATCATTGAACTGGAACAGTGAAATAATGTGGAAATGGTTCCTTAGAGGCAGATGGAAGAATTGGTGACTTTTCCCAATCAAAGCCATTTCTAGGGAAATGTGCATTAATGTTTGTTAATTTAGTTTAGTTTATTAAAACAAATTCATCACGGCTCCTTCTATGAGGTCATTGTATCATGCCTAGTATTAGGGATAGTGACATAGCAGTATCCACATTTATCTTCAATTCCCTCCCATCCCTCATTTTACCGAGGCTCCTAATCCTTATACTCCACTTTCACTTGTAATAGAGTGGTTCTGAAGATTCCACCCCTCCTTCCGTGTGACTTGGGACAAGTCACTTCCCAGGGCTTCAATTTCCTCCTATTTAAGAAGAAGGATTTATATTAAATGTTCTCTGGTATCCCTTCCCCCTCTAAATTTATAATTAGGATACTTTTACCCCCCCAGGGGACTTTTCCATATTTTACTAGCATTGGTTCTTGTTCTTAGCTATATATTAAAATAGATATTTTGTTAAATTCATTCCACTAAGGCAAATAAGGGGATAAAATGTCTATCCCCTCCCACACACACACACTTTGGTATTTAGATATTAATTGAGGAAAGTCATCAAGTGCAACAGTGAGTAAAATGCAGGGTCTGGATTCAGGAATATTTAACCATGTTTGCCTCAGTTTCCACAAATGTAAAATGAGCTGGAGAAGGAAATGGCAAACCACTCCAGTATCTTTGAAAGAGAAACCCCAATTAGGTAATGAAGAGTTGGATGCAATTAAAATGATTGAACAACAACAAATTTTTACAAAGGACTTTAACTCTTGATTCTCATAGCAATCCTTTATGGAGAGTCATATTATCATCCTCATTTTGCAGATGGGTAAACTGAGGCTGACAGAGTTTGAGCAATTTGCCCTAAGTCACACGACTAGTAGGTATCTGAGGCGGAATTTGAACTCATCTTCTTGAATCTGTGTCCAGCAATTTATGCACTACTTCACTTACCTCTTTCATAAGCTTTATGGGACTAGTCTCAAATTCTGGAGCTAATATTCTTGTTTAAGTACTAGAAAGTGAAATGTGGCAGTGGTTGTATCCAGCCTACAAGACGCACAAGAGTTCCTTAAGTCCTGAACAGCAGTTCTCTGCTTTATTCTGTTCAGGACCACAGACAGTTCTTGCTGTCTTTCTGATTCTGTCAGTTATGCAGACTGCTTGCTGGTGTTTTTCTCATTGAAAATATTTTAGAATTTAAAACTTTCAGAACTCAGAGTTTTAAAAAAAATCAGAGCCACTTCTTGAAAAGAATAAAGCTGAAGAGGTCTTATCTTGGACCTTTCATTCCCATACAAAGCTATTCTTAATTTTCTCTACCTTCCACCTTCTCCCAAACTTTCCCTACCTGCTGCAGTTCTCCCTCTGGTCTCCATTCTACATTATATTATTAACAGTAACAAGGAAATGCTTTGGTTGAAGCTGATAACACTCTACAATTCAACTCCCATAGTATAACTGCCTTGGCGTGCCAGGACAGGAAAACGTACACAAGCTGTCAGGAAATCAGCCTCTGCCAGACCTGCCAGAGCATCCATACCGTTGTCACAGTCCAAGGATGAAAACCTCATGGACAGGCTGTGCTTGATAATAGCAACTGATCTTACTGTATCCTGCTGGTAGCCCAGGAACATTGTCCAATCGTTACAGGCCTCCTATTTCTAAGCACCTTCCTATTACTCGCTCCCACTCCTACCAAAATATGAGATTAGCAAATCAGTAACATTTGCATTCATAGCTTAGCCCAGAAGATATTTTGGAGTGTTGCTATTGGGTGTGTGTGTGTGTGTGTGTGTGTGTGTGTGTGTGTGTGTGTGTGTG